AGATAGAATTGTGTGCCACAAAGCGGACCATGCCAGCAGGCAATCACAGATCAAATGCTGATATGAACACAATGAAAAATGAGTTCATGCGTTCAGTAGTCATTGTAGCTGGAGGTTCACTGCGATAAACCATGTGTTTCGAAAACGGTGATGTGAAAGCCTTACATGCATGGGAACCCTACAGATATACTCTAAGATAAATGTCCGGCTTCTTTAGTCAACATCCTGAGCATCAGCATCCTCATTTTCGGGGCTGACTTCATCAGTGAATTCCTTGATATGTTTGTGCAACTCCTCCTTCAAATTGGGATCAGAGCTCTGGCCGGTAAGAACTGGCTTGTAGTACAGAAAATTCGACACAGCGTCCGCTTCATCAATGCCGTTGAGCATTTGACCAGCCTCAGATAAGTCAAGGGCTGCAGATTGTTAATTCAACAATTCAGGGTCATGGCTTACCACTTGTGGCCAATTACTTTTTCCAAGTGGGATTGCATTTATTGAATGGTTGATGGGACAAAGGAAAAGCATCTCCTGGGGTGCAATAAAGTAGCTATGGTTGCGACACTCTTGACTGCAAACATCAAATCCTCAAAGCGCACTGTGCAGTAGCAAACCTCCAGGACATGGCGTGGATCGGGACACCAACAATGGCAAAGGAGACTGGGTTGGCGGGTCTGTCCATGTGGGTAACCTACTTATGAAATGAATCATACATAATTCCCAACATTTTCAACCAGAACATCAGAAAGGTTTTAACGTTTTCAGCTACCAAGCCTGTTGGAGCTTGCCATTCTTAAGGATTAGGAATCCTACAGCTGAGCGCGACCAGTACACCATGATCTTGAACTGCCCTTCAAACTGTTGGTTCAAGTGCTCAACTACGGATTTAATCTCACCCGTGGTCTCATCGTGCTTGATGCGCTTTCGGCGGCATCCATCCTGGAGACATTTGGTAATAGACTTGTAGATCAGTTTATACTTAAGGATATGTAGCCATTATGTTGCTCATATGTGATATGTCATAACAAACATGCATGCTTAAGATGAAAGGCGAGTGGGCTGTCCTCTCCAGCTTTGGGGGCTGGCTCCGCACATGTGGACGACTGCTTTGCTTTTTTTGCCTTTGCTCCTTTGCCTGCATGTCCTGCCTGGTCCATTGCCTCCTCTTCACCCTGTGCCTTCTTTACATTCTTCGTTTTCTTCGTTTTGCATCCCTTGACCTTGCATCCCTTCTTGACTTTCTTCGTTTTGCCTGCCTCCTTGACATTGCGTTCATCCTTGCCCTTACCTTTGCTCATAGTGGTTGGGATTGCCGTTGTCTCACTGCTTGGATTCCTTGTCTTTGCTGCTGATGGTGTGGCCTTATCCTTCTGGGTGATCTTACCATCTTCTGGTTCATTGCTTACCATGCGCACCTGTGACTTCATCCTGCGAAGTCTCTTACCTATGGTTTTTGGACTGTTGCTGGATTGCTCCTTGTTTGCTTCAGGTTCTGCCTTTGCTGCCTTTCCTGCCTTAGCTGCCTTTCGTGCCTTTGCTGGCTTTTCTGCCTTGGCTGCCTTTCCTGCCTTTCCCTTAGGCTTCCTTCCTTTCCTCGTAGAGTTTTCCTCTTTCTTTTCATCCTTCAACCGCTGTTGCTTCAAGCGATCCACAACCTGAGCGCACAGAGCAGCTGAGAACCCACATATTGAACTTTTCCCCTGAAAAAAAAAACATCTAAAACAGAAACACTTGAAGTTCGGTTGAAGTGGTAGAGACATCAACCTATATCCGGTTCAAGGAACAGGAATGCGCTCACCTTCATCACCATTGCCAGTAGTAGGATCATTGATTTTGGGGCCTTCATCCTCACCCTGAGTGGCTTCGGGGGGGCACCAAGCTTCATCCACCCCAGCATCGGGCACAGCATCGGGAGCGTAGTACTGAGTTTCATCCGGCACCATCGGGAGAGTCTCATCAAAGTCCATTGCTGGCACAGAAGTGCTGGCTTCCAACCTGGGAAAGAGATGGGTTCACAGGTTTGATATTAATTTTTAAAGGTTCCAGGGGAATACATCTATCCTAAGGTTCCAGGGGAATACATCTATACCTCTTAAGATTGCTGTTGATCAACTTGGATGGCCATATGAACAATGTTTTCATAAAGACGGAAACTGGTCGATGGTACTGACAAGAAACTTCAAATCTGACTGCAACTTTTCCATCCGGGATCTAATTTCAGCAACCCTTGACGAAGTCGAATCCACTGGTGACGCTATCTCTGGAACTGGATCACTCGGAGAAACCATGGGAGTACCAGTACTGTTGGAATTCTGACCTTTGAGTTCAGCAATCCTGGCCTTGGCCTCCATGATTTTTTTGTGCAATCCAAACACACATTCCTGCTCATCAACAGGAAGGGCTTCTGGAACCCACATATCATTCTCAAGCAAACCCGAGTTCCCACCCACAGATTCAGCCAGAGCTGGCACAACCGGGGTTGTAGTAGGTGAAGGAATTGGCACCTGACGAACCCGATCACGTAGATCACACTCCTTAGATTCGCCCTTCTCATCCTCGCTGTCGTCAGGAGCTGACTTGTCCGCGGGGAGGTCTAAATAGAGTTCCTGAGAGGCGGAGTTGCGCGGCCAAGGCCGGTGGGAATTGATAGCAAACACTCCAACATATTGCAACAACTGTATACATGCATGTAATGTAGGGTTCCAAATATATTGAAATGATTCCCATAAAATCTATATATCAACCTCAGCCTGCAGTCAAATTCATTGGTTTCACCGGTTTCACCTTTACCATTTGAAAGTGTGCTGACCCGATGAACCATGGACAATGTGCCGGGTGCAAAAAAGGCTCCAACTCGCCAAAGTGGGTCAAGAGCTCTCTGAAGTCTGCGTCCTCCAGGGGTAGCTATGGGGCATATATGATCCAAGGGATCTGAACCATATTGTGGATGGAAGAAATCTTGCACCGGATGATAGATGGTTTATCCAATATAGTCCCATTGCAGTTATAGTTATAAGTGTTACCACTATACATGGGCACGAAGCGGTGCAGGTGCAGGATTTCTTCCATCCATCATATGCAAATTGGAATGGAAGAAAATACATACTGTGGTTCCGGGAAAGACCTGGAAATTATGATCTGATTTGAACTGCATGATTGATAATCACATAAAAAAATGGAAACATGCATGAAGAAAGGAACCCTTGTCCCGTGGCATGTGAGGACGAATGTACTTGGCTCGCACATATGACACCAGCTTCTTAATGCTAATCACCGACAAATGAACCGGCACTTCCAACTCTTCAGGGATTGGAGGAAGGTTGTGGGCATCAAATCCCTGCTTGGTAGACAGCAGCTGGAGAATCCAAACTTGGTCTTGAATCGTCCCCATATCAGGTGTCTTGATCAGGTGGTGGTATCGCATATTCTCCATGATTGGGATCAAGACTTCTCTGTTCCACAAGGCATGACGTACATCTTTGGATGCAAGGGGCTGGGTATTGTTGGTTACAACAATGGCACCAATGCCGCCCTCTTTCACCCTCTCTTGGATGGAAGGCTCCATCCACCAATGCTTAGCAACACCATAAAGGTTCGCCATAGCAAGGCAGCAAAACGTTTTTTTTTTGAGCCGGTTTGCTCTGAAGGGAACGCCCAAAAAGCTTCCAGCAAAAGCCAACTGTACTTGCAAGATAGAATTCATGGCAAGAAATCAAATCAAACTTATTTCGTTTTTCGATGCCCCCCCCCACGTAATCAGAGCGGGCCTCACTTGCTGCAAGCGATTGCCAACATCATAACCCATCAGACGCTGGGTTTTCATATGCACATCGGTTCAAGACAAGAGACCCTGTTGGGAATCTATAATATATATTCTATGCCACATAATATATTCTATGGCACCCATCATATATTTCTTCCATTCTCGATTTGGGGTGCATGGTCACATGCATCTTCCCCTTTTTTATTTCACATCATTCACATCCATGCTGTGAGCCTTGGATGCAAGGATCGGGCGCACCTCCAATAGCAATATCGTGAATTGACCAAATTATCTGGTCATTACGGGTAAAATTGTTCATTGATCATTAAAAGGTGTATTCGACCAGATTTTCCCATAATGAACAAAAATTTTTGTTCAAACGGCTTTCCAGGTATATATACATATTAGATAAATACACAATGAATCACAATGATGGGTATGTCTGTATGTGTATATATATATATATATATATACATAATTACATATTAATACATACATATATAATATTACATAATTAATTACGAATCATAGTCAGATTTTTTGGGATGGGTTGAACATGAAACGACTAAGCAACATTTCTCCAACATCAAAATGGATGGAATGAACTCTCCCAGGGTGGATTCTGAAAAAACTTCTTCGGGGCTCGAGTAAACTGAGTAAACCATCAATCAATGGCCATTGGAGGTACTGATTCCATAAAAGTTTGGCCTATGTTTTAGGCCTTGGTTTCAGGAAATATCCCCAAAATTCATATGGCCAAACATATTGGTACTAGTACGTAGCTCCAATAAATCGGATTTTGGAGATCTCCCATTGATCAATGGTATCTTTAAAGTGTCGCTGTTGACAGGTCTTTGAGAAAATTTTGCGGTCACGTCACTGCACATTTGGTGTCACCTGGAAACCATGTTGACAGGTATGCGGTATTGCTGCTGAACTGCAGATATCTTCTGTAGTGTGTACATATGGTTACATATATAATCATACATATAATCATACATATAATCATACATATATCATATATATGTATTATACATGTATATATATATATATATATCAGCATGTATGCACATTCATAATTCCAGCTACATCTCTATCTATGTTCACCAGCTAAGAATCTCATATTTTGCGTATCTAAGATTGGGCATGATCTATATACATGCAGGTGTTTATGTAGCCATGTATCAAATTTAACGACTCCCTGAAGTCAAAAATGATGAGTTCCATCAAGTTCCAGGCAGCCAATGGCTTCAAGCCATGCAACTCTTGGAAGACCTAAAGGAGGCACGGTGGAGCGGTGGAGCCACGGGGGAAATGGATTTTCATGGTGGTTCCCTGTGATAAAACAAGGGGGTTTCTTAAGTCATGGGGATACCCTCTGGTGAACATACAGAAAGCAATGGAAAATGGCTATAGAAATAGTGGATTTTCCCATTAATAGCATGGTGATTTTCCATTGCTATGTTAGTTCACCAGAGGGTACCCCAATAGCCAAGCTCGCTGGATGGTTTATTTCATGGAAAAACCCAATCAAAAATGGATGTTTTTGGGGGTACCCCCATGGATTGGACACCTCCATAGAGCTACTTTTATATGCAGCTACTGTTTCGCATTTTACCAACAAAACATGTAATGATTAAAGGGTTTTTTTCATGGGATTTTTCATGGCATTTGGATGGATGTTATTTGCTCAGTTGGATTCGAAGCGTCAGCGAAGTAGTGTATGGGAGATTCGAATCGTTTTTCTTGGATGAAACACCACCTTGGTAGGTGCCATATGAATATCAACGCCTATGACACTATATTAGACCATTCAATGTTTTGTTTTTTGGTAATATAGTATAATGTAATTATGAACCTTCCAATTACCATTCAAAATATATTCTGGTTGGTGGGTTGGAACATGTTTTTTATTTTCCCATGATATATGGGAATAATCATCCCAACTGACTTTCACTCCATCATTTTTCAGAGGGGTAGGTATACCAACCACCAACCAGATATCAATAGTCACTGGGATATTTGTTAATAGTATATATATATATAGCTATTAACCAGTATATAAAATAGTATACCCATATACTGTATACTACAGGATGGGGCCCCCAAGATAGCTAAGTTGGTTTATAAGTGGCTTAACAATGGTTTATGGTAGATATAACTATAGTTAATGGAGATTATTTCATGGTTTATAAACCAACAAACATCACTGGGGGGGCCCACATTGTACCATTCAAGATATATCGGTATAGCCTTTACAACCCATCCTGACTTTGGGGATCTGCGAGGTTCGGGGTGAGCTGGATGTGATCTTGTTGCCACTGGCCGAAAGGTGGTGATCCACTTCGCCCCCAGCTTGTTTCATGAGTAAACGTAAGATGTTGTTGACACCTTGTATTTTATTTTCCCATTGAATAATAAAAATCAGTATATCATTGAGTTGGTTTAAGGTTTTATTTGCTGTACCCTCTGGTAAACATTTACATAACTATGGAAAATCACCTTATTTGTCATGGGAAGCTTACTATTTCTAGGGTGATTTTCCATAGTTATGTTAAATTGCCAGATTTGGATTTATGGAATTTTATGGTGTAGATATATCATGATATCTATACCATTCTATAGGATTATGAATTTATAAACCAACTTATAACTAGGAGCACCACCGCGTGTGATGAGTTCGTCACAGGACAATTTTGACACCGATCCGATGTTCATGTCATGCAGGTAATATGAGTGAATAGGTAGGTGAGAGGCCTTCATTTCGGATCCTTTCAGGCCAATCTCCGCGGAAAACAATGAATACATAGATGGGAAGTTCTGCAGTCTCCATCCACACCTCACTACAAGGTGATGCCCCTCCAGTTTTGTTAGTTGATATGTATGTATATATATATATATATATTGTTAATATAATATAACTACGGATATGTCTACCATGCATTCGATCCTTCAGCGACGCTTCAATACACCAACGTAAAACTGACTAGGGGGCACCGCCTTACACAGGAGATCATCAATTGAGTCAGTTCTGATGGGATAAAGATGTACAAAATGATGGAGGCCCAAGTCCAACTCATTCCAAGTGCCAAGGGGTGCGGTGGTCAGTGCTTGCGGCAACAGTGGGCAGTGGCAGCATGCGCTGGCACTGCTGTCCGAGATGCAGCACGATGGAATTCAAGGCCAGCGGCGGTTGGGATGTGAAGCGAAACTGCACCCCCTAATACGAAGTAAGCATCGTAGAAGCTATGGCAGTCCCAGTTCATCCCAAGTTCCTGGGTTTTTCATCACCTCCTGGATATTATCTTGGACCGTTCTCCTGGGCTCCTGGGGGCCTTTTTGTTTTGGCCACCCCCAAAGAAGCGGCTGTCAACTGAGATCCGATCGTGCATCACGACGACGACTCCAATGCTATCTCTGGTGACAAAAAACGAAGTACTCGGCCTGGTAAACTAACGTAGCTATAGAAAATCACCAATATTAATGGGTAAATCAACATAAATCAACTATTTCTATGGCAAGTTTCAATAGCAAAGTGTGAGTCATTACCGGATGGTATCTGTTCCTCCCAATCTCCAACTCGTCCTTCAACTCGAGTGACCCCAGTGCGCAGCACTGCAGGCAACATCATTACCTACAACAGCACCTGGGCGGAAACCTGGACCTCAACCTGCAAGGTGGTGCACCCAAATGTTTTAAGTTTGTTTAGAAAACCCTATCTATGGATATATCTACATATATCTACCATAACTATCCATAAATCCTATACTTAATGCCAAGTTCGTATTGATAACTCCCCTAGAAGGTAAGAGTCCGCCCCAAACAAAAAACTAGGGCTTGTCATACAAAAAAAACTGCAGCCAACCTGCCTGCCAATTGGTCGAGATTTCTCTTTTCACTAGCAACCTCCCAATGGGGTGAGATATCCTGACTACCAAAAAGTCAGATTTCGAAGCAGGGTGCTGTTTAATAGGGTGGTCGCACATGTTTATTAATAGGGAGGGACCAACCCAAAGTTGTATTGCCAGACATTTTTTGGAATGTGGGTGTTGATGAATTCGGGGGCCCGGGGGTGATTATTAATGCTCGTATGATTAATATATGAACTTAGCATTATTGTATCTTGGGCAATATTTGGACTATTTTGTGGTGTAGCTTTGGAAAGGACATCAGGTGAAGAGGAGAAACTCACCAGATCAAGACTTCAAATGTGTCGGGTATGCATTTATCATATCGGTCAAGATCCTATTGGAAAAACTTGGTCGCCGATTGCAGCGAAGTCTTGGCAGTCATGGCATGAGAATACGTGGTTTTTACCAGGTGGATATCATTGCTGGAGATGGCCCGATGGCAACCAGGCCTGTTATTTGGCTCAGCCAAAACAAGGCGGTGTGCCAGCCTACTCCACATCTTTGCTCCAGTTTTGGATCGATCGTATGATCCACACAGCTCAGTCGGGCTTAAAGACTATGCAACCAACGTTGCACCTGTCCTTGTGAAGCATGTCATGCTCCAGAATCTCGTGGTTTTACAACAGAATTTGCGCAGCATCAAAGCAGAGACCTACACACAGGAGCTGCGCCATAACTCCCACATAGTCCAACGTCGAATGCAAGAGCTGGCTCAACAAAATGCAAACCAAAGAGCGGGGCAAGAACAATCTTTCGGCGATCGCATTGTCTATGGGAAATGTCACAAAAGGTGATGTTTTTCAAGTTGTGCAAGTCTTGGCTTATAAACAAACCTGGCTATGGATTGGGCACCACCTTGTAGCTGAGATGTCAAGACTGGGACACGAAAAAACTGCTAGGTGGATCACCCTCACAATCACATACAATCATCAAATTCACCAGAAATGATTTGTAGGAGTTCAAAATTGGAGGTTTTTGTTTGTTAGGTTTATCATATTACTGGCCGTCTACATGTCGTGCGATTGGGGTCAATGGTATGTCAAACGGTTGAGCCTTGGCTCCCAATTCATACAAGGTGAGGCCCCCAAGCGATAGCGAAGTTGACCCAACCGGTTAAGCTGTTGGGTGCAGGATATAACAATAGCATTCATGGAGTTCATTCCCGAAAAAAAGCAAACATTACTGGGGGAAGCAAACTTTCATAGGCGCCATGGTTTTTCATAGGCAACAAAAACAGGAGTCGGAGCGGGATGGATGGAGAATCCCATGTTTTGAGGCACAACTCTTCCAGACTTCGATGAAGGATTGGAAAATCCTAAACGTTGAGGAAAGTATGACATCCTTTAGATAAAACCGGCAGGCTTTACCATAGGCTTTTGCTTCATGAGATAGCTCTCTTTACATGGTTTTACCATAGGTATTTTACCATATGTTCCCTGAAACCCATCCAATGACGTCGACATAGCTCTCTTTTTGCTTCATCACTGCCAACAGCGCATGGGACAGCGCACCTAGGCGCCCTGAGCGCCCTCGAGAAAGCGGGGCAATGGCGGTCGGCCATGAGGTGGCTGTTCGAGGTCTCAAGGGAAGAGTCGCTGCAGTTAGATGCGACGCAGCGGCAGTTTCAAAAGTGGATGGTAACTATCTATAGTTATATGATATATTATAGTATATTGTAGTTATATATATATATATACATTAATTAGTTATACATAGTTATACAGACAACTATATATTTAACTGTGATATATAATATATGATACCAACTATAGTGATAGATATATATGTATAGAGGGATTTTAGCGATATCCACAAAATTAGGCCCCCGGCCTTACGAAATCGCGAGAGGTTGACGCACAGAACTGCCTTCGTTGACTGCTGGGTGTTGATGAATGGGGTATATACTTGGAGGTTCATCCCAGTTAATAAGTGGGTTATAACCCCAGTTTTAAGTGAACTAACCCTACTTAGCCCATTTAACCAGGGTTAAAACCTACATACTACGTGGGATGAGCCACCAAGTAACGAAGTAGCTAATCACCTTATAGACAATTTGTTTGACTGGTGGGCCTCGCCTTGCAGGGTATGCCCTGGATGATTTGGGGAGGGTACCCTAAAGCAATCAAGCCATGGCTAGCTGGAAAATACCCACATTCAATGGGCATTTAAATAGGCATTCGAACGGGGAAATCATGATGAGTTTCCCAATGCCATTGCCACGTTTACCAGAAGGTAAATCTTGTAAATCTCCAAGTATGTGATATGAGTGAGGATATACCCTCTGGTTATTTAACATAGCCATGGAAAATGGCCCATTTACAGATGGTTTACCTATTAAACATGGTGATTTTCCATGGCTATGTTAAATAACCAGATGGTAATGGGGATATGATGGGAAGAAAATTAATCATTACCGCAGTAAAGAGTATTGTGACTGCTAAAGGGGAACTTGCGGTAAACAAATCAAGAACACTACGGAAAATAATGAGAAGTGGGTACAAAGTGGGGGCCCCACGTGTGGATGCTGGTTCATTTCCACTCATTCACCTATAGATTGTTTTTTGCATTTTTTTGCCACAAATCTAACAATACTTGCAGTTGAAAACTAACTTACCTGTGTTGGGGCCCTTGCGTTGTAGCTTTTCATGGGTTGATTGCTGCTAGCTAGAAATGGGGGAATGAAAGTTTCCCTGGCTTGCGGTTAGTGGTTTTGAATAGTCTGGGGAACAATGCAACCAGGTAGACCTTAGGAGATACTTGCTTTAACCAGCAACAATGACAGAAATGAAGAACATCATGTTGCGGTTTGGGAAAAAGCAACAGTGTATCATGTTTATGATGCATTGCATAATATATATATATATATATTGTTACATTTTTTGGCAACCTTTTCTGAAAGTTCACGGTTTCCGAATTCATTCTCCACGTTTTGAGGTGATTAGCTACAGCGCAGCCATCAGTGCATGTGAAAAGGGAAACCGTTCCTTTGCGATTGATCAATTATCTATAGCTGGGTGTATGGAAGATACAATGTGGAGAAGTACTGGGATACTTATGGATACTTAACCAACAATATCATATATATGGGTCCATGGGTGTGTCTGAAGTTGTGTGCCCTACCTCCCAAGCCGGGAAAATCGACCAAATGATGTTCATCAAATTCCAGGGGTCCGCCCCGTTGGTCGGTTGCCAGTTTTTTCAGAGTCACTTCGTTCGATGTTCGTTCCACTAATGAACATGAAAAGCATTCTGCATGCAGAGGTTTCTTTAAATGGGTGGTAACCCCCAAATCAACCAAAATTAGACCATTTTAGTCTTGAAACCAATGGTTTTTGGCCATCCGCATTTTAAGAAAACCCCATATTGCACTTGCATGTCACTATATCTAGAATATTGCATAAAACGTATTCAAGAATCACATTGCAGATCAAAGTCCTACAGATACCCTAAATCCACAATATACTAGAAATCTAAGCATATCTAAGCCGCCAGTGGAAACTCCCCAGTTGTATATTTCTTTGCCAGTCAAGATGGAAAATTCCCTGTGGAAGGGCTATATCCAGTCAGTCGACGCCTGGCACCTGATTTTTTTTTTCCTTGGATTTCCCTATTCTACAGGGGGTTCGGCATCAAGTGAAATGATGCTTCTTTAGTGAACACGATGAGGGTATGTTTTCCTGTAATTCAAGATAATTCTTCACAAATTCAAGATAAGTTTATCGACATGTGGTTACTCTCGTTTTTTTTTGCTCAATGGTGCGGGCATATAAATTTACCTATTAGACTATGTTCGAGGTAAATGTTGGCAAATGTACAAAAAAAAAGTTTATAACATGTATATTGATCACTATTCCAACTATTCCAACATATAAATGTCTCTATAGATAGATAGATAGATTAGATTAGATTAGATTAGATTAGATTGATAGATAGATAGATATGTTTTGGGATAGACGATATTAAATTCCATGCATCTCAGGTTGGAAAGAGGCTATGTTTATCCTCTCCCAGCTGCAGAGGTCGGCCCGGTCCCCATCAGAAAAACCCATGAAAAATTGTCCCAATTAGGTGTAAAACCCTAGGAAAAACCATGGTTTTGGCCAGGGTTGGGGTTGTTAAGATTAGGGGGGAAGGGATTTGTG